AGCAATTTTTTGAGACTTTCTAAATTACCATAATACCATGCCATCATTTATAACATACACACAGCACACTGTGCTGAATAAATAACATGCATCGAACCATTTATCGGATATTGAGGTACCTACGTTGCAGATCCGGTCACTGGAGGCATAGATCGATGAAGCTGACGTCGTTGAAAGGGGCGCCGACCGTAGGTGCTATGGCTGGGCGCAGTTCACTCGCGAGCTGGGCAGGGCCGAACCAGAGCGGAGAGGAGCGAAGAGGACCAATCCCACGCCGTAGCAGAGAGGAGGGATGGGGCGGGGCCGGCGAGGAGCTGGGTAGGGCCGGCGTGCCCGCCGGCAGGGATTCGTGTTGGACCAGAGAGGCTGGGACGGGGCGGGCCGGCGATTCTCGGCAGCGGAGAGGACTGGGACGATGCTGGAGAGGACCGGGTGGCGCTGGAGGAGGCCAGGGCACGGTCGGCGAGATGCGCTGCCGCCAAACCCTATCTCCGCCTAGGCGTCGCCACTTGCGGACGGACGGGCTCGGAGTCGCACGGAAGGGAAGAGAAGGGAAAAGAACGAAACGTTTTCTTCATAACCGATGGCAGTGCGGGTAATTTCGTTGAAAGTAACCCCCAGCCGGTGAAAGCAGCGTCTCCCCGGCTGTGAAAACTGAACTACGTGAAAGCTGGCTTTTCCGAAAACTATTGGGCCAGCAGGTGCCCTTTGGGTGGCTTTTGGGCTTTTGAGAGCAAAAGCTGAAGACAAAAGCTAAATCAAACACCCCCTTAGTCTGAAACCATCTTATCCATTAACTATCTAAATAAATAAACTTTTTTCAAGCCATTGGTTTCTCCTCAGCACTTCTACTTCTCAAAGATTCAAGATCATATATCCCTTTCGTCGCATACCCATTTCAGATTGAGTCCCCCAAAAATCCTGTCAAGTATAAAACTAATAATACAAAAAAAGTCAGGTGATTCAACCTCAATAAAGGTTTAATTACCTGCTTTTTTGAGTTTTCTCCTAGGATGGAATGCATTCTCAAACTGATATATCTTGATAATGTGCAAACAATGAGTTTCCTTTTTTAGGAAAAAAAATGAGCCGAGCAAATGGAGACAAATAATGTCACCCAACTTCAGCCAATCAGCCTGTTCGCTTGTTGATTTCAGTCTGGACTTATCAGCCAATCAACAATATTTTTCTCTCACAACAAATCAGCACCGGCTAAGCTTATTAAGCCAGAAACCGACCCGCGAAAAGGCCGAATGCCATAGATAGATCCTGTCCGTCGAAGCTTTTTCTTTGGCAACCTGTCCGTTGAAACTTAACCACCTCATTTCTCTTTCCCCAAAACCCGTCCGCATCCGCACCCGCATCCCCACAGCCTTGAGCCCTTGACTGTCTGGAACAGCGGCATCAGCTGGATCGGTCCTCGATCCCGTGCCTTCCATGGGCGCCTCCACTCCTCGCCACCATTCCAGCTCCCCCTTCCAGCGATCCCTCCTCTCCAGGCGGATCATCACGTTCGCGCTATACGCCCTGGTCCCGCTCGCCCTCCTCCACTACCTCCTCTCCTTCCCTCCATCTCCAGCCCCGACAACCTCCTCGCCGTCACCGCCGCAGGGGCCCAAAATCGCTGCCGCTGCGGGCGCCGCCGGTGGAGCAGCAAGAAAGATCGCGGCGCCAAGGTGCGACTACTCGGATGGGGCGTGGGAGCGGAGCGAGGCGGGCCCGCTGTACAACGGCACGAGCTGCGGCGAGACGATCAAGGCCGCCCAGAACTGCGAGGCGCACGGGCGGCCCGACACGGGGTACCTCCGGTGGCGGTGGCGGCCGCGCGGGTGCGCGCTCCCACCGTTCGACCCCGCCGAGTTCCTGCGCCTCGTCCGCGGCCGCCACGTCGCCTTCGTGGGCGACTCGCTGGCGCGGAACCAGTGCGAGTCCCTCGTCTGCCTTCTCAGCTCCGCGTTCCCGGCCCAGCTGGTGCGCGGTGCCGGCGGTGGGGACGGGGACGGCGACGGCGACGAGCTCCGCAAGTTCCGGCGCTGGGCGTTCCCGTCGCACAACGCCACGTTGTCCGTGTTCTGGTCGCCGTTCCTGGTGAACGGCACGGAGAAGGCCAAGGGAGCAGCGGTAGGGAAAGGGCTGGACCACAACCGGCTGTACCTGGACCAGCCCAACGAGCGGTGGGCGGCGGAGGTCCCCGGCATCGACGTGGTGGTGCTCTCGGCGGGGCACTGGTTCCTGCACTCGGCGCTCTTCTACGACCGCGGCGCGGTGGTCGGGTGCCACCACTGCCCGGAGCCCAACCGCACGGAGACGGGCTTCTTCGGCGCGTTCCGCCTCGCCGTCCGCGGCGCGCTCCGCGAGGTCGTCCTCCGCGGCGCCAGGGCGCAGCGGCGGCAGGGCGGCAGCGGGGCGCCGAAGCTGGCCGTGCTGACGACCTTCTCGCCCGCGCACTTCGAGGGGGACTGGGACAGCCCCACCGCGTGCGCGCGCACGGAGCCGTACGCGCCGGGGGAGCGGGCGATGGAGTACATGGACGGCGAGATGCTCCGCGCCGGGGCCGAGGAGGTGGCGGCGGCGGCGGCGGACGCGCGGGCGCGCGGGGCCGGGCTGACGGTGGAGGCGCTGCAGGTGACGCGGATGGCCGGGCTGCGCGCGGACGGGCACCCGGGCGCGTACATGCACCCGTTCCCGTTCGCCGGCGGCGCGAGGGAGCGGGTGCCCAACGACTGCGTGCACTGGTGCCTGCCCGGGCCCATCGACACGTGGAACGAGATCCTGCTGCAGATCGTCAAGCGGTGGGCCGACGGGGTCGACGCCGACGCCTCGTCGTCGTCGTCGCCGTGAAAGATGAAAGACACCTTCACCACAGCCACAGGAGGAGACTGAAAGGCAGTCTGGATTTTGGAGTTTGGTTCAAATTAGTATAGACTGTTCGAACTAGAATGTTTAGACCTTAAAATTCTTTCGAGCGATTCCAGGTGAAACGGCATCGGTGAGAGGAGTTGATGAGATAGTGTTTTTTTTTTCTCAAATACGTAAAAGATTTACGTATTATTGTGACGAGAAAAACATGGTTTCAGGTTGAACGATTGCAAGAGAAAAATACTTTTCTGGCTTAAAAAAGAATAAGCCAAACGAACCGGTTTTTATGAACAGCCGAACGGCACGATAGTGTTGCTGTAACAAATGTTCTTGGATTACTTTGACGTTCCTCTGCGCTTGTACCTAAGTACTGCTACTAGGAATTACTGAATCATAGTATAATATACTGTACTCCGTACTCCGTATTTAACTTGGTAGTACAATGGCACCGTGATTACCGGAGACCCACGCGGGGCGCGGCGACGTGCCCGTCACTCGCTCTCCCTGTCTCCCACTCTCCCGAGATCCCGAAACGGGCCTAGACCTGCGGCGTCAGGTGCGGATCGCGGCGAGCGAGGTGCCGTCGCCATTTCCTGTTTCCGTTGCAGTAAATACAAATGACATGCACTCCTCTGTAGGGATCGGTGAAAAGTCAAAACGGTGCGTCGGTGCGAGGGAAGGGGAAGGGATCACAGGTAGGCATCGGAGCGGGTACGCCTACGCCACCTCGCCTGCCCAGCGCCCGGCACATGGCTGCTCGATCGAGGTCTGAGGGAAGGCCGAGGCCGAGATCGCCTGATCGAGGTCCTTGATGATCGTACTCCTCGCGGCACCGGCACCTCTCTGGTTTTCCTTTTCTTTTCTGGAGTAGACTGTTTCATCCGGTTTTATTCGCTTTTTCTGGAGTAGCGGTCTTTTAAGAAACGACTTTGACCACTACTTTTTTGCTATAAAATATTTATAAAATATAGGGAGGATTGAAACTACATTTTGAGATGAATCTACTTACATCACTTTCATATTTTCAAACTCAACCCAAAAGAAGTTATTTGTAGTCAAAGTTTAAAATGTTTGACTTAAGCTAACCTCAAAAAAACTGTGCAACCATATGTAGTAGTAAAACTTGAAGTAAACGGAAGGGATTTTACAGTTAACAGACGTGCTGCTAAAGCTCTCGTGAGCTAGCTAACTGTGCAACCATTCATCTTTTCCAGGTGATCTGCACCTCCTGCAGTACTGTGGGAGTTACCAGGTCAGTATCCTCCTACGAAACATAATGCAATGCCATGTAACCTTGTAGTTTTGAATCCACATGAATAAAATGCAGCATGAACTTGTAGCTTTGGATCCACCACACAAATTTGTAAGTACGACTCATGCGTGAAACAAGAGTGAAAATCTAGGCATATTTTCTCTAATTAGAAATATAAAGTCTAATAGGATATTAACTACAGAATGCCCCCCTTTAAATAGCAATATCTCAAAAGTATATTATTAAATCAAATTGATTATAATATGAAAATACTTTCGTAATGAACCTAATTAGGATGACTTTATGTCGCCAATATATATACCAGTACTACTACTCCTAACAAAAGACATGCTCAACTTGCTCCCAGCCTCAGCTAAGAGAGTAGGAGACCCCAAAACCTTAGGATTAAGCCTATCCCAACGACGTCACTTAAAATATAAGATCTATTCTATATTTTGGTTAGCGCTACAGGTAAAATATTTAATATTTATTTTTGTCTTCTCCAGCAACCGGATTTAAAAGAGAACTATTTCTGCATATAAGTCTCCAGAAGAGAGGATACTCGTATTTAGGTTGTACCTCTGTTGTAACAAAAAAAATAAATCTCACATATAGGTATTATGTTGCAGGCTGATTTGTCCCTGTTCGGTTTACCCCATATTTAGCTTGTTTTTTCAGTCAAAATAGTATTTTTCTCTCACAACAATTTAATCAGAATCGTATTTTTCAACCATTTCAGCCCAGATTCAGCAGGCCCGAACGGGCATATTACCCTCCCGGTCTATTTTGGGTTTGGGTCCGGCGGAGACAGTCTTATTACTCGAGCCTTCTCCCTTTCAACCACCGTCAACCTCGCACACTGCTGCTCTGGTAAGCTGGATCCATCTCCATGGGTGCCTCCAGTACTTGTCCTTGCCACCACTTCAGCTCCTCCTCCATCCTCACCAAGCGGACCATCGCCTTCGCGCTCTACGCCCTCGTTCCCCTCGCCCTCCTCCACTACCTCCTCTCTCTTCCTCCCACTTCCCCCCCTCCTCCCACCACCACCGGCGTCCCCTCCACCCCATCACCAACGCAGCAGGCGGAGGCTCCGGCAGCGCGGTGCGATTACTCGGACGGGGAGTGGGTGCGGACCACGGAAGGCCCTCGGTACAATGGGTCGAGCTGCGGCGAGACGATCAAGGCCGGCCAGAACTGCGAGGCGCACGGGCGGCCGGACACGGGGTACATCTACTGGCGGTGGCGCCCGCGCGGGTGCGCGCTGCCGCCGTTCGACCCCGCCGAGTTCCTGAGCGCGGTGCGCGGTCGCCACGTGGCCTTCGTGGGCGACTCGCTCGCGCGGAACCAGTGCGAGTCCCTGGTGTGCCTGCTCACCTCCGCGTTCCCGGCGCAGCTGGTGCGCGGCGCCGGCGGCGGCGACGGGGACGGGGACGGCGACGAGCTCCGCAAGTTCCGGCGCTGGGCGTTCCCGTCGCACAACGCGACGGTGTCCGTGTTCTGGTCACCGTTCCTGGTGAACGGCACGGAGAGGCCCAAATCGCCGGCAGCGGCGGCGGGAGGGCTGGACCACAACCGGATCTACTTCGACCAGCCCGACGAGCGGTGGGCGGCGGAGGTCCCGGGATTCGACGTGGTGGTGCTGTCGGCGGGGCAGTGGTACCTGAACTCGGCCATGTTCTACGACCGTGGCGCCGTCATCGGCTGCCACCGCTGCCCGGAGCGCAACCGCACGGAGACGGGCTTCTTCGGCGTGTTCCGCCTCGCCGTCCGCAACGCGCTCTGCGAGGTCATTACCCGCATCGCCGCCACGTCCTCCTCCTCCTCCTCGTCCTCCTCGCCCGCCCGCCCCCGGCTGGCTGTGGTGACGACGTTCTCGCCGGCGCACTTTGAGGGGGAGTGGGACAGCCCGACCGCGTGCGTGCGCACTGAGCCGTACGCGCGCGGGGAGCGGGAGATGGAGTACATGGACCTGGAGATGCTGCGCGCCGGGGTGGAGGAGGCCGCGGCGGCGGGCGCGGACGCGAGGGCGCGCGGGGCGGGCCTGGCGGTGGAGGCGCTGCAGGTGACGCGGCTGGCGGCGATGCGCCCGGACGGGCACCCAGGCCTGTACACCCGGGCGTTCCCTTTCGCGGAGGGGACGAGGGATCGGATGCCCAACGACTGTGTGCACTGGTGCCTGCCCGGGCCCATCGACACGTGGAACGAGATCCTGCTGCAGGTCGTCAAGCGATGGGCCGACGGCGTCGGTTCCGACGCCTCGTCGCCATCGCCATGAACTATTCTTGTCCCACGAGAGGCTCGAAGCTACTGATCGAGTGGCCGTTTGGATGGGCGATTTTGGTCCAAATCCTTTGAAATGGGTTCGAATTGTTGGATAGGCGATTTTGGTTCAAATCCTTGGAAATGGCTTCGAATTAGAATTACTCCTATACTACATCGTAAAGATTTGTACAGTCGACCTCGTTCAAACGCTCACGCTTAAGTTGGGCTTGTAAGGGCAGTCTCTGTGCTAGTTTCTATATCTATTAATTTTGTGCTAGTTTCTATATATATTAATTTTAATAGACACCACATATATAAACCATTGTCTTAATAGATAGTTTACACCGAACAATTTTTTATTTAATCACATATATTCTCTCTTTGTTCTCTATCAATCACATCTCTTCATGTTTTGATTTTTTTATACACATGGTTTCTAACTTAGACTCGATTTATATGAATTTTACTCTCTCTCCAATAACTATCTTGCTACATCAGTAAAACGCTTAAATGACAGCATAATTAATGGTTAATGTCCATGAAAACTACGGTGGTTTTTTATTAGGATTGCCTTGCTACCGGTAACAGGTGTCTTTCGCTTGTGTTTTAACGAAACGAAGACTGAAAGTCTGGAACCAGCTTTAACTAGTCAGCTTAGTCAGAATGTGACAATGACCTGAAATATGGCCAGAACCTGCGGCGTAAGGTGAGGATCGCTGTGCTGTGCTTACCTTTTCTTCGATGATCGACGCTCACTATGCGCCACCACCAATGACCTTTTGCCCAGTTATCAGGGGGCTGTTCCATCTTCAGCCCCAACAATGCTCATTTTCGTGATCTTTGCACTTGCAGAGCCTGGAGTCCCTGGACACAAGCAGTCAGTTTTATGCTCAGCCCAGCTTACACTAGTCTAAAACACACTGGCTGTCAGCAAGAGTCACTCAACGTCATCATAAATTAAAAGGACGAGTGATTCGTTATGGACTGTCACAATGAAAAATCTGCAGGAAGAGAGTCTGCAAAAAAAAAAAAAAAAACGATCATCAGGCCACCAGACTTGGGGCACCATACCAAATTACAAGAAATGTGACTTGGGAATTCTATATACAGAATTGGGTCGTCTGCCAAGGAGGTAAGGACGAACACCTGCATTGCAGCCTATTTCCAAAAATGGCTACAAAAGAAGGCATCAAGACATAGATGAGTCATGTAAACAAATCAGTTGAGCGAACGAATGAAGACAGCACAACTGGTTTTCAGGGCACATGAACACAACTGACAGTTCATTACAGTAAACTCGAGGACAAGTGATACTATGTGAAGAGTCTACAATGGAGGGAGAGGACATCAAATACATTATCAACCAAAAGATTAAAGAAATCATTAAACAAAATACTGTATGTGTTAGGACACAGTATGGTCCAGCCTTCTCCCAAATGTAGCTCCTCTGAAGAAGGCAAATTGTACGACTATGATGTCCTTGTTAAGTATGATTGTCCATCCATGATCTAGATATGGTACAAAATACAACAGGGCCTGAAAGATAGCCATGCATTAGATTAACCCGGAAGATCACTTCCATAGAACTGCATGATAGAATTATTGCTTGAAAGTGCCCTGGCTGATCAAGCACACAAACTTTACCATTTGAGTGGTGAAGAACATTAAATGTGTACTGTTAAACATAATCTGAAAATAGAATATCAACAGAAAAGTCCTTGTCTCACATTTTGACCACTGGAACATTAGTGTTGTAAATTCATTAGTTGTTTTAAAGACTACAACAAGGAAAAATGACATAAAATGATCTTGCGATACGTAATTCACCCATGCACCCCTTGCCTCCATCTGAGAAATCCAAATCCTTCCATGTTTAGTTTTCAAAGTTCAAGTGCACATTCTAGGACGACAAGCAAAAAAGAAAGGAAGGGAATACATAATTTGCTTGCATAATCATACTACCTTTGACATTGCATTACATATATCAATTACTAGTATACTTTGATTCAAAGCAAACAGCCACATCATATCTACAAGGATGACATGTACAATGTCAGTTTGTTATTTGCCAACGTCTAACCTCTAAAAATGTGAAGATACAATATTAAAGGCCATGACAGGCAATATACTTTGTTTGGTGGTAGAATGCTACAATTTTTTGTGCTTAGAAATTTGGATTTAGGGTGTTACTTGACAATTTGGTATTAAGACTTCAAATTTGTTTCTTGATACACGAGATCGTAATTATATTATAAACCTAAGGGAATCAAATGACACATTAGTTATTAGGACTATGCTCGCTTTCTCAGTGACTATTTTGACTCCTTTTGATGTAGAGGTCAACTAGGCCAAGAGTTACTACAAAACATGCTTGGGTCCAATTTCCTAGCTCAATAATCACTGAAAAACTATATAACTACAAGGTATGGAACTGCAACGAGAAGAAATATACTCACAGGACCCAATGCTCATCATTACAATTTTGCGATTGTTTCTTATACTTTTCCTATTTTTCATCCATTTGTTATTGATATGTTAAGAAAAAAAATCCTTCCCTCCCATAGATGCCATTCTCGACATAACCCTTTCCCTCCACTCCACTGCAGCTCCAGTGTTCAGCCATTGCATCAGTACTATCAGAACCCACCAATGCCACCATCCAACTCTCCTGTGCTAAGATCCCATGGGCATGGCCACAATTCTCCCAACTCCAGCAGTGCCCACAAAATCCCAGTCAAAGTGTGTGGGTGACAGGGTGAGACTGTGATTTGATTTGTAGTGGTTCTCATTCTCATCATTTGAAAAAGAGCCAAGATAAACAGAACCAATCTTAGATTCTGCAGAAATGTTATAATGCAATCTTGATCCAGCTACCACCGTCCCAACTTTAGTAGCGACCACTGCCGCATACAAAGATGCGAACAACTCCACATATCATGTCGCAGCCAACCTGCATCAGCGATGATATTACACTCCTGCTGCTACTAACTACCAGACAATTGCTTGGATCCTTGGGATGAAAATGGATGTGAGCAGCGGCATACGGTATAGTAAGCTAAAACATGGATTGGCCTTGGAAACAGTGGGAGGTGGAGGTGGGCACTGTGGCAACATGAGCCGGAAGAGAGCATGGATGTCAGTCTTTTCTGAAAATTCAGATGAACAGTTGTGACCAAAATAAAATGGACCTAACAGAAGATTTTAAACAAGAGACATGAAAATAATAGGCACATGAATTGAAAAATAGGTGTCTCTTAAGGGCATAAACAAAATTATCCCTTACCAGAATGTCAGTCACGGTTTCAGAGAGCAGTGACCAGCTCATATTTCCCAGGAATGAAAAAAGCAAAGTTCTATTTAGGTGTAAACTTTCCATGGGTGGTAGGCAGATGGCAGAAAATCAGGCAATAAGAAGATCATCTTGGTATAAAACAGGGGGCTCACTGCACACTTCGATGGTACTTCAATTGTCTCAAGTTCACATTTTTTTATCAAGATAGATGTCTATGTGCAGGAGTTTGAATTTGATCAGCCCACTTGACTAGCGTTACAAATTACCTCACTGCCATTTTTTTTTTACTTTATCGCATGGAATTAAATATCAAGCAGTTTTCCAATTTACTAACAGATTGCTTGGACCGAATTATTGACATTTTTGTTTGGAAGAATTCAAATATTTGGGACACTACACATGCACCTGGAATTATATCTTACCCTAGTGGAGTGCTGTGCGCCTGTGCCAACAGATTGAAACCATCAGTGTACAGACTCAATGTTTATGAACCTGAGATATTTTGAAGGAAGAAGGTATCTATTTTTTCCCTTTCCTTACGACAAACTAGCACTATAAACATATTGTATGTCCTTATAATATCATAAAACCAATGCAGTTAAGCAGTGTATCTGTTAGAGCAAACTGGCGACTGTAAGTGATATACAATTGTGCAAGTCAGTAAATATCATTTGTTACTCCCTTCGTTGCAAGCTACAAATGTAATGCAGGAGTTAAGGAATGCTTCTTGTAAAGCATTTAGGAGCAGATTTTGTTACCATCGCTAAGATAAAAGGAACTAGTAGCAGGCTGCTTAACTAAGGATTCTTCCACTCCTGATTAGTCCACTCTAATTCAAGCGCCGTCAAGCAATCTCATCAAGCTCCTAGTTGATTGCATACTACCATGTCAATTGCTAAATTGGCAAAGAATCAGTATCAAGTTAAGGAATGCTTCTTGTAAAGCATTTAGGAGTAGATTTTGTTACCACCCATAAGATAAAAGGAACTAGCAGCAAGTTGCTTAACTAGGATTCTTCCACTCCTGATTAGTCCACTCTAATTCAATTGTCGTCAAGCAATCTCATCAAGCTCCTAGTTGATTGCATACTAGCATACTACCCATGTCAATTGTTAAATCGGTTTAGTATCAAGTTTAGAGGCTCCTATCAAATCAGAGCACTAAATGTAAGTAGATCACAGGATTTGGAACTGAGAAGTGAGATCAAGATCCAGTCGAAGAGTATCTCACCTCTCAGTCGGCTCCAGCACTGCCGCTGCCGCCAAGCGGGTAGGACACGACCTCCCTAACGGTGGGCCCGACCTCAACGAGCGCGATGTCCATCCCGTACCCGGAGACGGGGAGCAGCTTGAGCTCTCGGAGCACGCAGAAGGCCTCGGCCATGCGGCCGCGGGGCACGTCGACGGCGACGGCGCACCGCGGTAGCCAGTGGTCGGGCCGGAAGGCGTCGGGGACCTCGACGCTAGCGTCCTTCCGCAGCAGCTCGCAGAGCTGCGCGTGAAGGCCGAGCAGGGCGGCGGACGGAGTGGGCGCGAGGAAGAGGACGTTGTCGTGCGGGGAGGAGGAGGCGGAGGCCGGGAGCGCGGCGAGCGAGGAGAGCGCGAGCGGGAGCGGGTCGAGGCGCGACGCGAGCGCGCGGAGCGAGGGCGCGAGGCGGAGGAGCGGGTCCCCGCCGGCGCCGGTGCCAGGCGGCGGGAGCGCGGCGGCGGGGAGGTGGAGCAGCGGGAGGTGCGGGCGGGCGGCGGCGTCGATGAGGCGGCTGCCGAGCTGCCGCCGCGCCAGCGCGTTCCACGCCTTGAGCACCTGGTTCTCCAGCGCCGGGTCGAAGTAGAGCTCCACGGCGTAGTAGAATCCGGTCGCGAAGGCGGGCTGAGGAGGAGGAGGCGCGGCTGCCGCGGAGGCCCGGGGCGTGCCCGGAGGGGTCGTGGAGATGGCGGGGACCGAGGGGCAGCCGCCGCCGCCGGCCCCGGCTGCGGAGGGCACGGTGCCTTGCGCCATCGGGACGATGGATTCCGATTTCCGACAGGAGGCGAGGGGGGCGGCGGTGGGGAGGGGGCTGGGTTTTTTCGACACGACGAACCGAGCGAGGAATTTGGAGGAGAGAGATCTCGTCACGAATCGAGTCGAGTCGGGGGCAGCTGAGTCGGAGGACTCACGCTTTGGCCTCGCTCTGCTATGGACTACTATGGTCCAGTGGGGAGTCACTGAGAGGTGGGTCCGCATGGTTGTGGTGAACTGGTGGTAAACCACGGTACCACCCGCTGAACACAAAGAAATTGACGTGTTTCTAATTTTGATGATAGCGTAGCAATATTGAAAGCTGAGATAGTTTCCATTAAAGGATTCCCTGTTCACTTGTCTTATAATTCATATTTTTTAACTTATCTTTTCAGTCGGAATAATATTTTTCTTTCACAACAAATTAATCGGAACAGTCAGAGCATGTGCAGCAACAACTCAACAACACGTCAATGTACGGAGTACACTACTTCTGCAGTGGTCCAAAGTCCAAACACATGCCACATCATCGTAATTTATATGTTCGGCTCCTGATGTAACTTGAAAAACGGCTGGAAATTTTGGTATGGCAAAATAATGGCACCAATCTGGCAATTTCTAAATGAAGCGAAGTATGCAAATCAAGTGCATTTGTTGCCATAGTTTGGGTGCGAAACCTACCATGGCCATCTAGCGCCTGATTGGTTTCTCGCTAAGGTAAGGTGTCTCGAGTTAAAAATGGCAACCTGGCTAGTTCTGCGATGATCTCTGCTATGATCCAGTAGCCAGAAATCGATTAGAATCAATACACGCGTGAAAGAAAGAAAAAAATGATGCATCGATCCAAATCGCAGAAACGCAACTTTGCCAACCAGAGGAACTGAAAGACGACCATCTCGATTCTTCATCTTTTAACGGCCACAAGAACGAACCCCGCGCCTCCAAGAACAAGAGCAAGATTGAGATCAAGCATAAACCCTCGACCTCAGCTCATCCGAGCCAACGATCCAGCCCGCGGTTGTCGACGACGCGCCTCGGGCCACGGCAGCCGCAGCCGCCGACATCCCTGAGGGCGGAGCCGGCGCCGCGGCCGCGACGCACTGCCCCATGGGGGTGGAGGCACCGCTGGTCAGGGTGCTGCGGCCGCGGGCGGCGTCAAGGCTGGCGACGTCGTCATTCTTGACGATGACGATCTCCTCCAGCTGGATGTGTTAGACCTAAAGCAGGATCTCTAGGCATAAATCTAGCGAGTTCTCTATACTGTGAATGCGATATCGAGAGTAGAGGGACAGAGAGGAATAGAAGAAGAACGTGTCGAACCTGACATCGTAGAGGGAGATGGTCCAGAAGCCGCCATCTTGTTCGTCGGTGAAGTCTGCGCACGGGCAGCGACGTTCGGGGAAGAGGTCAGTGAAGTTGTCGACGTCGGTGGAGCGGGGCGGCGCGGCTGGTGGCTTCCCGTCACTGGCTGCGCCCCTCTCTGATCGGGATTAGGGTTTAGATTTCGGTGGGAAGCTCGGCTCAGGCGAACCTCGTACTCAGAGCCGCCGGGCCCCACCTCTATATATAGTGCAGTGTGACAAGGGCCCTCCAGCCATAGTAGGCTAGGCGCCCCTGATCAGGGCGCGGATCAAAGGTCCAACTGGGCCGTTGGGTCCAATTTAGGATTATAGATCAATCTAACAATCTCCCCATTGATCTCCTACCATTTTTCAATTTCATACCATTCACTTTTGTTCATTCCATTACAGATTAGCGTATAGAGCATGTTTTATCGTCACGGTCAATTGCCGATAGATTTAACAACTACAACACACCACTCTGTTCTGAAATAGATACTTAACTTTGGGCCTTCTTTTGTCCAGGAATTATAGGCTTTTCCTTAAACCCATGCCGGCTATATGTTCTCTGAACACATTGGGTGGTAAGCCTTTTGTAAGCAGATCCGCGGACATCTTTTCGGTACTTATATGCTCAAGACTTATGACATGATCACAGACTTTATCTTTCACAACATAATACTTTATGTTAATGTGTTTGGCAGCACCACTTGACTTATTATTGTGAGCATACTGTACTGCCGGATTATTATCGCAGTATAACTTAAGTGGTCTATAGATGTCGTCAACCACCTTTAAACCGGGTATAAACTTTTTTAGCCAGTTCACCTGCCCTGTTGCCTCATAACACGCTACAAACTCGACATATATTGTGGACGATGTAGTGGCGGTTTGTTTTGAGCTTTTCCATAAAATAGCTCCCCCTGCGAGAGTGAATACATATCCAGACGTGAATTTTCTATCATCTCTCGCATAATCAGAATCTGAATATCCCACTATATATAGTGAATCTGATCTTCTATACGTCATCATGAGGTTTTTTGTTCCTTGCAAATAACGCAAGACTTTCTTTACTAATTTTCAGGGTTCTGTTCCAGGATTGCTATGGAATCTGCCAAGTAACCCGGTAACAAATGACAAGTCAGGACGTGTACATACTTGAGCATATTGCAAGCTTTCGACAGCTGAAGCATATGAAACCGTTTTCATTTGATCGATCTCATACTGATTCCTAGAGCATTGAAAATCCCCATATCTATCGCCCTTGACTATAGGAGCAGGTGAGAGACTACATTTGTGCATATTGAATTTCTTTAAGATCTTTTCTATGTATGCCTTTTATAACAGTCCTAATACCCCTTTACTTCTATCTCGGTGAATCTCGATCCCTAGAACGAACGAAGCTTCACCAAGATCTTTCATATCAAATTTTGAGGACAAAAGCTTCTTTGTCTCCAGTAGTTGACTGACATCACTACTAGCAAGTAAGATATCATCTACATACAGGACAAGAAAGATAAACTTCCCATTCTTAAACTTTGCATAGACACAATTGTCCTCTACATTCTCTTTAAACCCAAAATTCCTTATTGTCTGATCAAACTTCAAGTACCACTGTCTTTAAGCTTGTTTTAATCTATAAATAGATTTCTTTAGGCGGCATCCCATTCGTTCTTTTCTTTCCATGACAAAAACCTTTTGGTTGTGCCATGTAAACATTTTTCTCCAAGTCCCCGTTGAGTCATCTTTACATCAATCTGATGTAATTCTAAATTGTAATGTGCCACTAATGCCATTATGATTCTGAAGGAATCCTTACATGAGACTGGAGAAAAGGTCTCATTGTAATCAATGCCTTCTCTTTGCGTAAAGCCTTTTGCCACAAGTCGTGCTTTATATCTCTCTATATTCCCTTGAGAGTCAAGTATTATTTTGTAGACCCATTTACAGCTTACTGTTTTGGCTTATTTAGGAATTATTTCTAAGTCCCAAACTTTATTGGCATTCATAGATTTCATTTCATCTTTCATGGCCTCAAGCCACTTTGATAAATGATCACTTCTCATGGCTTCTTCAAATGAGGTAGGATCATCCTCCATTTGAAATTTCTCAGTGTTGTATACTTCATAGTCAGCAGGAATAGCTGATTTTCTAACTCTTTGAGACCTTCTAGAGACCTCCACATTTGGCATATCTTCTGTTTGAGGCTGTTGTTGCTCCCCCTCATGTGTGGAAATAGGTTCTACAGGATCCTGAAGAACAGGTTCCTCATCATCATTCATTGTTGCCACAGACGGAATAACAACAGGTGCTGGCACCATAGTATCTTGTACTGTCGGTGCAGCGACAGCAGGTAGTGAGAAAAATGGCTCAGGAATCATCGGAGTTGGCGCATACACCCGCTTCTCTTTAAGGTCAATTTCTCGAGCTACCATGCCCCCCTCATCATTTCATCCTCTAGGAAGACAGCGTGTCTTGTTTCCACAAACTATGTATGTCTGTCTAGACAGTAGAAATGAAAACCTTTTGACTTTTCTGGGTAGCCAATGAAATGGTAACTTACTATTTTGGGATCTAGCTTTCTAATGTTTGGGTTAAATACTTTAGCCTCAGCAGGACTCCCCCACACACGTAAGTGGTTTAGTGAGGGTACTCTTCTAGTCCACAACTCGTACGGTGTTTTGGGCACCGACTTACTTGGTACTCTATTGAGAATATGAATGGCGGTTTTTAACGTCTCCATCCACAGGCTCAACGGTAAGGTGGAGTAACTTATCATACTGTGCACCATATTCAACAGGGTATGATTGCGTCTTTCAGCTACTCTATTCTGCTGAGGTTCACCCGGTGTAGAATATTGGGCTACTATATAATTCTCCTGTAAGAACCTTGCAAAAGGTCTAGGAACATGGCCATATGGGGTATGCCGACCGTAGTACTCCCCCCCATGGTCGGACCTGACTATCTTAATCTTCAAATTGTGTTGGTTTTGAACTTCTGCCTTAAATATCTTAAATTTATCAAATGCTTCTGTTCTTTCTTTGATTGGATAAATGTAGTCATAACGGAAGTAATCATCTGTGAATGTTATGAATGAATTATAACTGTCGGGGACCTAATACCGGGGTCCCCAAGGAGGTGGAACTAATAACCATCGAACGTTAAAAGCTCATGAATGGACAAGAGCACGGCTGCACTTCTTGCCCGAACGATGGGAGTTTTGTTCCGCCTCACCCGAAAGCCCGTGGACCCGCTCCACCTTGCCCGATGGCTAGAGGACGACTCCGCCTCACCCGACAGCTGGAGCACGACTCACCCGACCCCCAAGGGATACACTCTCTTCCTCGCCCAACCCCCGAGGGCTGGGCTTGGCCTCACCCAACGCCCGAGGGCCGGCTTTACCTCATCCAAACGACCGATGACGGATCTCGCCTCACCCGATATTCGGAGGCTGGCTCCATCTCACCTGACAAACCGTGCCCTGCGAACCCTCATGATGACAGCTACAGGGTAAGACAAGACGTTCGGGTCAACCACAGCGTCAGACGCCATGCCCTACACCACAGCGTCAGACGTCGTGCCCTACACCCCTACAAGGAAGTACCGTCAGGATGTGACAGGACAAGCGCTGGGACCTCCCCCCAGGCGTGGCAGAGCCTG